AATGCTATTGAGTTGATTCTGATTCACAGTGACCCCATTTGGGTTTCCAAGCTGGTAAATCTTTACGGAAGTAGATTGCCCAGTCTTCCTTCCATGGAGTAGCTGATGGGTTTAAACCACCAGCCTTCTGGTTAGCAGTCAAATGCCTTAGGCACTATGCCACCAGAGCTTCTATGGGCTATATACTGCTTTATATTAAATAATCAGTTAAATTTCTTGGATAGTATAGTGGTTTTGTGATTATGTAGAAAATGCCTTAATTCTTAGGTGATACATGATGAAATTGAGGGTAAAAGTCATGATGTCTGAAACTTATTTCCAAATGGTTCAGTAAGAATAAATTAGGGTTGTGTGTGTGAGAGAGAAAGAGAAATAAACATGGCAAAATGTTAACAACTGTTGACTCGAAGTGAAGGAACTATGAGCATTCATTGTAATAGTCTTCAACACTTCTGTACCTTTGAAATTTTCAGAGGAAAAATTTGGGACAAAGAACATCATAATTTGCTTGTGTGTTTTTCGGTAAGTAGAACTGACTGCAGCACAAATTTTATTGGTTTACCTTTTTGTAACTAAAGTAGCTGTCTCTTTTATTGATTGCAAAGTACCTGCTTCCATCAACCTTGGCTGGGTAGAAATCATAATATAAAGATAGCTTTTAGGCCTTAAATCTCTACCCTTCACCTTACATATATATTTTGTTGTCATTGTTATTGTTGGGAGCCAAAGTTTAACTTCTTGTATTCAGTATTATTTGTGGGCATAAATTTAAGCACTACACTAACATTTTTGAGGCTATATTCTTCATATATTCATCAGTATAGACAATCACTCAATGTTCCTTTTTTATCTAAAAATTTAAATGTAAACCCCTTTATCTAAAAAATATTATTGTTAAGTTCTTAATAAAACAGAAGGGAGTATCTGCTATTTTTTTATTTCCCAGAATCTACTCTTATTCAATTGGCAACCATATCCAAGGTTTTCTTGGAGAAACTAATGCTTTCCAACTCATTAATGTGGTTACTGTGGGGCTGACTCTGCCCCTGGTTCCACTGGTGCACATCTAACCAAGGCCTAGCTAATTTTTTTTTTTTTTTTTTTTTTTTTTTTATGCCGTCGAGTCAGCGCCGACTCATAGCGACCCCTCCTTGGGTGTCCGAGGCAGTATCACTACGGAAGTAGGATTGCCCAACCTTCCTTCCAAGCATCACATTTCACATGACCACAGTGATGGCTTTTGAGGTTGGCACATAAACCAGGTAAGGCCAGTCAGTCAATGTATTGGAACTCTTGAGGAAGAGAAGCTATCTGACCTCAGAGTTAATGCTGCTAGGATTTAAACTTAAAGCATCTGGCTGCCATCTTTAGTACATGTGTGAAGAGTATGCTTGAAAGCGAACACTATACAGAAGAAAGCCAGACTAAGGGATGGAGAAAGACAGAATTCTGATGGCATCATCTGCGTCCCTGGATCTAGTCATGTCCAAATTGATTAATACAATTTTTAAGTATGTGAATCAATATATATTAGTAACAGTAATAATAGCTACTATTTTCCTTAAACCCGTTTTGAGTTGTGACTTACTACTGAAGCAATTTCTCCTTGGGTTTCCGAGGCAGTATGTCTATGCAAGTAGATTGCTCAATCTTCCTTCTGAGGAGCGGCTCATGGGTTTGAACCGCCAACCTTCTGGTTAGCAGTCAAGTACCTTAAGCACTATGCCACCAGAGCTCCTGATTAATACAATGGTACATGAAATAATCAAATCTAGAATTTGGAATTTCTGATCTTTCTGACTCTACTTATGAGAAATTTCCTGTTGAGAAGATAATTATTACACAGTTATGAGGCTGAAACAAGGGTCAAAAAGGACCTAACCAACACTTCTGTTTCCCAGTCAGTATTTTTTTTTTTTTTAAGAAGCAGAGAATGCTATAGTATGATAAAGGAACTAACCACAGAATCCTCAGACAATGTATGATGAAATGTGTTTTTGTTCAGAAATGACAAGGAGTCTCTCTTCTATTGTCAAACTAGTTTTTATAAACTATTATGTCATTTTGTGTCTTGGTTTAGCTGATCTTTAGCACTTTATTACCAGATCTTCATTGGTAAACTCCTTCAGTATGCTCGTAAATTTTGTACACCGTTTTGAAGCAGAGAATACTTTTTCTTGTTTCATATCTGAATTTTGAATATATAATTGATATTTCTGTGCTTTGGTGTTTCAAAATTTTTAAGGCTCTGAGTGGGAGTCACATTTACCACCATCAATTTAAGTTCTAGGATAAATATGCTCCCTTACTATATCATGACACTGGAAAAACACAACAAATTGGTTTGGTGGATGCTTCCCTTTCATATGAATTTTTTTTTTTAAAGTCTATTATGGTGACCTGCTGAAGGTTTATCATTTGTATTTGTTTTTGTTGCTTTTATTAAGGGATGTTCTTGGAAGGGTCCTTAGTAGCCTGAGCCTCTAAGTTATTCTCCATGGAATACTCAGTGGTTAGAGGATTAAAGGGAGAGGCTGGTAGGTAAATTATCACCCTGGTAATTTTTTAATGATTTTTGGTTTGAGGAACTGGTGTTGTGATGACAACTTCTAGATTGAACCATTACTCTACAGACATTGGATGTTTAAGATAATGATTTTCTGCACCCAGTAATTCTTCTTAAAGCTTGGCTACTTTCTATAGAATTTTGTTTCTTGAAAATGGTTCACACCTCTGAATCCAAATCATCATGGGTGCTTGCTAAAAAGGCAAATGTCTGTGCCCCACCCCAAATGTACTGAATTAGAATCTCTGGGAATGGGGCCAAAACCTGGCCCTTTAAATGTAAGTACCCCAGCTGATTCATACCTACACTGAAGTCTGAGATGCACTGCTATAAATTATATGAACTTTGAGTTTCTTCAACTTTGAGTAGTAGGTGACAGTCTGGGAAATAAGCCCAGATACGATGTCCATGTCTTCCTTTGCTGGTCAGCTTCCTATATATTAAATTTACCTAACATTTGAGTGAAAGTTTAAAGATGCGTAGGTATTTTGAAAAAGAGTATTTCTTTAATAAGCTAAGGAAGATGGCTTAGAACAAAAGATTTTATGTATATGACAATTCAGGGACTATTCTTTTAATTCCTCACAATTGTATTCTCTAGATAATTATATATGTGTGTGTGTGTGTGTGTGTGTATGTATGTCATCTATGTCATATATGTCAAAGCACAGATATTTCTCTGTGCTTTTTTGTCAGTTATGCCCATTTTCATTATCCCCTTTAATACATGGAACAATTAAGTCATTCTGATCTTCATACTAACAGGCTATGAAAACACCTCAGACTACTTTTCCAACTCCAAACTTCTGAGAACTATAATTTATGTGAAAATATAGCTATCTGCTTGTAATTATTAGCAAGGTAGAATAGCCATTCTCAAGGACAGTGGTTTTCAATGATGGCTGTATGTTAGAATCGCCTGGGGAAATTTTAAAACATGAAGGATGCCTGTGTCCCACTGTAAGCCAACTAAGTCAGAATCTCTGGAGGAAATGCCCAAACATTTTCTTCTTAAATTCCTTAGGTGATTCTGCTGGGAAGCTGAGGCTAGGAACCATTCCGTGGGAACTTCCCAGTGCCTCAATAAATCAATCTCAAACTGACTCAAATAAATGAAGTTCAGCTGAGTGCAACAATCAGTAGAGAGATTGCCTGAAGGCAATGCAGTTTGTTCATTTCTAGTCTATCACCTTTAATTAAGCCAGGTGAGACAAACAAGGGTGGTATAGTAGGACAGGATTGTAAAGTGCCAGTAGACCTCCTTTTTCTGAATTCCCCTATTTATAATGCCATGTGCTTATACTGAAGGGCATAATTAAGAAAAAGATCTGTAAAATGTATTTGCTTTATGGAAATTGCTGAAGACTTTAGTTAGATGATTCTTAAGAGCAAGTTCTTTCTGATGTTAGTATTAGGAATACTAAATGTTTAATGGGCTCATGAATTATGTAACTAATCAAGTTTTATTTAATGAAGTGTAAGAAAGTTTGGAGCCAAATTTGTTCTCCATGAGCAGGTGTAATAGGAATTTTTCCTGTACCAAATTTCCATTTTTGTCCTTGTTTTCCCTTTTTCTTTTTCATCTTTCTTATAATTTATCACTTTGATCTGTACTTTGTATCCATTAAGCCATTGTAAAATTTGTTTAGGATCAAGACTAGGTGTATATAACATAAAAATATGTAGCAAATGGCCCCAGATTAAATGCTGCACTGCAAATTATGGCTTTGTTGCCACTTGACTAAATTCCTCAATATAAGAAAATTGAAAAGCATCAAAGCCAACCTAACATGTATCTTGGGCACTGGACATTAATTCTGGTGTTGAAATAAAAACAGATGTAAGGAATACATACATACACCAAAAAAGTGTTGCTGTGATGCTAAATAAACACATTTACCACTGATGCAGAGAAAGGAGAATTAAGGGGTGGGGGGTTGAAGGCAGGAAAAATATATTCTGCATTGGAGAAAGAAGACAGAAGTCATAAAAAGTGAAGTTTCTACTTGGAGAAAATGCTCAAATTAAGTTTTAATAAGAAGATGACATAAAGATATAGGAAGTGAGGAAATCTTTCCATCAAAGAAAAAAGGAAAAAAAAAATCTAAGTTAACTTAGTTTTTTTCCCCTAAGTAATGATGGAAAACATTCTAACACATATTTTTCTTTCTTTTTTTCTTTTTGCAAAGTACCCTGCATTATTTCAGTGGTCAGTTAAATCTTTGGTATCCCACATAATACCAAGAATGATGCCTGAACTCTAAGTACGCCTTTTGAAGAAAGGATTCTAGAGTCTGATTATAACAAAAAGCAGAATTATCAGATGTTTGCTTACTAACTGCATTACTGGATTGTGAAAAAGATATTTCAAAGATAATTTATATTCACTGTTATCGATGAATAGTCCTATTAATACATTTTATAGGAATTTGGGTAAAATTTTTCTTGGAAAAGAAAACTATGAATAGTAACCTACACTCATGGATTCATTTACATATGTAATTTGAGACACAGGTTTCCTCTTCGCTATGTTCACCTTTTATTAAAGAATTTACCTTCTGATTGATATACAGGCAAAAAAAACCCCTTAAATGTTAAAAGAAGGCCTGGTTTTACACATGTATGTAAATTCTTAGTTTGGTTCTCAATTTATATTGGCTGCATAACAAAATATTGTCTATATCTTAAATAATACAACACATTTCTTCTGGTTGAAGACATTGAGAAAGTTTTACTCTATCTGTGGTTTGTGTAATTATTACAAAAGTTGTATACAAAAGCCTGCAAATATGCAAAAACTGCAAAATACACTCTTGACAGCTAATGCTCTGAAAACACTTTATTACACAAATTACATTCAGATTTTGAAAATATTGTTCTAACAGTGTAACCATCTAAAAATAAGACATCCCAGAAATACATCAACTGAAGAAAACTGAAAAAAAGAATTTAAATAGAGACTTTTTTTTCTTTTTCTCATTGCAATATAATGTTCGTGATTTTAAAAAAATAGAAGGAGATTTAGCAGCTTCATCATCATGTAGCACAAAGGTTCTCTTTACTGCCACAGGCTGAGAATGCTGATCAGGAAAGGCACCAAAGAAAGACATTGGCAATGGAAGTGCTATTAAAGAAATACTGTGTTCAAGCAGAGAGCGGGGTTATTTACATCCACAGAAAAGTCTCAAAAATGTCAATGAGCAAACGTTCCATCATTGAAGTTAGTACTGTGATGGAAGAGGACTGTTTCTCTACCCTATGTTTGTAAAAAGACAATGGCACTATTGTGAACTTTCAGGAGACTCCTAAACTAGAAACAGAAGGCAACCAAACCAAAAGGAAGGAAATAAAATGTGCACAGTCCCACATAGATTAGTACAGTTTACAATTAAATACACAAAAACTTTAAACGTGCTAAGGGAAGGAATCTGGCATTCTTGGTAAAATCTCACTCAACCTAAATCAAAGCCTGGTTTTCAGGAGGAGGAAGGTGCCTGTGCGGGCAGTGGTGCAGAATACTCCTCTTCCGATTCACTTCCATCATCTTCATCCTTCTCTTGGTCACTCCCCTCGGTACTAAGGCGGTCAAACCCTTTTCGACTATAGCCCTTACGGCTTGCGAAGAAGTTGCCAAGGTTTAAGCCTCCAGTTCCTTTTCCTGAGTAAAGCAAACAATAACATTCAATTGAAGTAAAATTTGCACAAATGATTTTAGTTTCCTTGCCAATTCTTAATGATAAACAACGTAGATGTAGGGGAATGAGAAATGATCTATCTATCTATCTATATATATAAGAGTGGCACACAGACAGATTTATCCTATAGAGCTAGACTAATGCTACTCTACAGACTTATTAAAATGAAGAAGAGGGGGAGCTCCCCAGGACTGTGTGTTTTCACAGGAATGTTTCAGATTCACTTTTCACTACCTCCTGCTTTTTCCAGGCTCTCTAGAATTGGTATGCCTCAAACAGCAATTCATTTCAACTACTGTCTGAGAAGGTCATCTTCACTATGACATGCACTGACATGCAGAGAGAAGTGACATAAAATTTACTGAAGACAAATGAAGTCAGGTAAAAGGGAGAGGAAAAGAATTAGATACAATAGAATGACAAGGTGGAAAAACAAAAGTGGGAAATGTGCTGCCCAGAGCCACACACACTTGAGGTTACAGCTTGTATTCTGGATTTAACACTGGTAGAATGCTATGGTACCCACTAAGAGTTTAACTTTCAGAGAGAAAGTATGAAATATTTCCTTGCATGTGCTGGTTGACTTTGAACGAAACCTGAAGTTAAAGGATTCTGAAAGGTCACAGGCATACCTCTAAGTCTTCCCAGTACTCTTCCTGAGCTTGCCTCGAGTTTGTGTTCAGAATCTGCTAGATAGAGATGGGACATTTTAAAATGATTTCCAATCACTCTCCTCAATCCATAGGCTCCATTTACAACACAAAATCAGGATTGTATACATGATTCACAGGGCCTGGCTCTTGTATGTATGTAATTTTAAGGGGAAAAAAAACCAACATATCATTATGATACAGATAAGAGCCAGAGCTGCATTTGACTCCTGACTGTATCTCTTACAGAATGCACAGTTTAGATAAATTATTTTCTGAAGCCTCAATTTCCTCCTGGGAAAAGAGTGGTCAGTAACAATCCCTACCTGTGAGGTTCAGTGACATGCTTAGAATAGTGCCTGGAATGTGCAAAGTAAACACTCAATAAATATTGTCTGTTTTTTACTTAAGACAGGAATAAGTTTCCAGTAAATTGTAAAAAATTAGAAGCTTTGCTTATTATAATTTATGAATATTTGTTCTTTCTATTAAGAATATCCAGCTTGAGAAAGCTTTGGATACACATACACCATTTCCCTGTTAAGTTAGATATGTTGTTGTTGGGTGTTGTTGAGTCAAATCTGACTCATAGCAACTCCATATGAGAGTAGGACTTCCCCATAGGGTTTTCTAGGTTGTAATCTATATGGGAACAGATCATTAGATCTTTCTCCTATGGAACCTCTGAGTGGGTTCAAATTGCCAAGTGCTTCATTGTACCACCAGGGCTCCTTAAGTAAGACATCAGTGTAGGTAAAGGAGATGAAATCTTGTGTATTTTCCAACTACCCAAGGGACCTAAATGTTCCATGGGCTCCCATGAAAGACAGATGTCTTTTCTTACAGGAGATTGGCCTCTCAATGCTTCCATTACTCCCTTAAGGGTTATGGCCAAGGAAGCCAGGCTCAGGTTCTCATATTATGTCTCTAGTCAGGAGTGGAGATAACAGCATGGAGAAGGCTAACAGGCAGGCAGATTATGGAGGAAAAGTATAAGAGTGGATGGGAAGAGATAAGAAGGTAAGACAAATCTGGTCAGATTATTAAAAAAAAAAAAAAAAAAAAAAAAAGTAGACTGTAAATTCCATAAGGATGGGGAACATACCTTCTTTTTTATATCCTATGCCTAGCAGAGTGTCTGATGTGGAGCTGACACATACTAAGGGAATGTTGAATAAATGAAAGGTCCTTTATGAGGTTTTCTAGAAACCTTAGGATGGATTGGATGAGATCTACTAAGAACAAATGTTGAAAAAAGATGAGAGGCTGAACTACTTTGCCAGTCAGACTGAACCATAAGAAACTGCATTTTTTTTTCCTAAATAAAAAGTGGTTGAATCATAGCAGTTTCATATGGTCCAACCTGGTTCTCTACATTCTCAACACACTTGTAAACTCAGCAACTGTATCAATGCCATGTCCCATGTACTTAAGAACAAATGAGAGACCAAACTTTCTCAATTCCCTAGCCACTTCCTCTCAAGTTTGAGTTGGTTACCACCATTCTTGCCACCTGTCTCCATATCTCATGTGTTCCTATCTGTGTGGTATTCTATTACTGCACTTACCCCCCTCTATTGTAACTTTCAAGTATCATCTATTCTGTGAGCTAAATTTATATATTCACTCATCCTTTCACCTATTATTTATTGAACCCCTAGTGCCTAGAACTGTTATTTGTGCTCGTTTACATCAGTAAACGAGACATGTAAGACACTAGGACCTCTGAAGCTTATATCTAATTCTACAAAGAGAATCAGTTTATTTATCTTTGCCCCCTGCTTACCACATTTCCAGATGCACAACAGGGACTCAAGACAAGTCCTTTTAGTAAAAAGTTAACTATTTTTGCAGAGTTTTACCGATTTGCAGATCAAAAGTACAAGGAAGTCCATGAAAAATTCCATTTTAGAACTCATAAAATTGAATACTTTGTTTTTTGTTACCATGTCCTTTTCTATGTCAGGGCTTTGCCATGGGCACTGAATCTATGCCATGGTTGCCTTGGCCTCAAATAGGATCAGATGCTGTTTCCTCTCCCAATGCTGCCTCTCATCCCTGCACATGGACTCCTTCCCAGACGCAGCTGTAGACCCTTGCCTTAGGACCTGTGGAAGCAGCTAGGGGGACTGCTATTGAGTGGTGAGAATCGGTGGTCAGGTTATTTGTTTATTTAAATATTTCTTTGGATGTCCTGACAGAAATTCAGCTCCTATTTCCTTTATTGTAATAATGCTTTGTGAAAATACTGACTTGAGTATTGAATGCTACCTTTTTCAGTTAAGGAAAGCTGATGACCTACATTATGACTACTGAAAAACTATAAAATGGTTTACTATAGAAATTGTTGGCTTCTTGAGAGAGGTGAAGTTCAGGACTGTATCTTTTATGACTTCTTATGCCTTTTATAAGGAGCTCTGGTGGTGCAGTGCCTAAAGCATGTGACTGCTAACCAGAAAGCTGACGGTTTACACCCACCAGCCACTCCATGGAAGGAAGAAGGGCAAATCTACTTCTGTAAAGATTTACTGCCTCGGGAACCCAGTGAGGGCTGCTATGAGTCAGGATCGACTTGATGGCAGTGGGATGCTTTTGATGCCATCATAATCATTGGTAGTATTAATATTAATTGAGAACTTTCTAGGTGCCAGGAACTGTGATAAATTCTTTATACTATTATATCATTTAATCCTCATACACCCTTGGAAGGTAAGCATTTTATCCCACTTTATATAGATAAAAGGAGCTCTTGTAGCACAGTGCCTAAGGCATCTGACTGCTAACAGGAAAGGTTGGTGGTTCAAACCCATCAGCCACTCTGTAGAAGCAAGACTGACTATTTATTTCCATAAAGATTTACTGCCTTGGAAACCCAAAGGGGGTCGCTATGAGTCGTAATCAACTTGATGGCAGTGAGTTTGGTTTGGTTTTATATAGATAAGAAACCGGTGGTTTAGAGTGATTAAGTAACTTGCCCAAGGTCAAGTAGCTAGGAACTAATGTCAGGACTCAATCTGGTGGAAAACAAAATCCCCAAAATAACTGGTCCAGGTAACTCTGGGCCAATTCCCAACAGCAGGGATCTCCTTCTCTTCCCTGATCAGTGAATTTACACTGATGCAATTTATCTATACAATTTCACATGGAGACATTAATTAGACTTAAACCAATTGTTAAAAGGCAATCTTAACAATTATATTTTAATCTATCCTAATTTCACAGGCTCCAGATATATTTTCTACTCTATTGCTAACTATAAACAATACTTGCAATATAGAGAAGAGCACTAAAAAAAATAAAAAATAAAATAAAAAAAGACACTGAAAAAAAAATCACAACCTATCTCCTGAAGGTAATCAGGCCAAACACTCTTTCAAAGGCAGGTTCCAAGTTCAAGGGGCTCATTTTACTTGCCTCCAAAGGCCCTTGACTTTTTCCACCGAATAAATATGGCAATGGCCAGCAGGACAACCACCGGAATAACCAGAAGGGTTGTAATGAGAACAACGGACACTCCCGATCCTGGTTCTGTGATCAGTTTCTGTTTCTCCTGCATCTTCTGCAATTCTGAGGAGGTGGCTTTGTTCTCCATTTTGGTTTCAACAACTGCCTCGGCTTCTTTAGGGAAAGAAGAGTTCACAATATTCAACTGACTCAAAGATTCCAAATCCCTCCCTCCCACCCTTACCCAGCCAAATCAACAACTGGTTACAAAGAACTTGCTGAGTCTAAAGCACGGAGTTCTTGTTTCAATACTGAATCTACCAAAGTAGCAGCAGGTATTACAATTGGTAATTACCCCTGAATCGTTTCTCATCTTCAAAATTTTCCTTGGTTCTATCCTTTACTCCCTACGGAGCTACAATTCCACAAAATCTGTTATCTTCCTTTTGCATTTTCTCTAAGTTCAAATTAACTGGTAGCAAAATGTAGGGAGAATCAGTGTACACACTGCAGTCAAACAAACCTGGGCTCAATCCTCAGCTCTCCCATATACTAGCTGTGCAACTTTAGGCAAGTTACTTAAGTTATCTGGGCCTTAGTTACCTCATCTGTAAAACTGTGATAATAATAATACCTTTTTCATAAAACTGTTGTATGTAAATGCCTATCACAAAGAAAGTGCTTAATAAGTATTTGTTACCTTGTATTTTTAGTTTATGAATCTTTTTCATGGCCACTGAATTACTGGTACACCACATGCATAGTTTCATACATTAATCAAAGATTACAAACTGGAGAAAAGAAATGTATCCTCTTCATGTTCTTTTCTGCAGTTTCCAGAAAAATGAAGTATAGACAGAGGCACTGTCTATCCTTTTGTTATTGATAAAACTAACTTCTATGACTCTTCTATGATGTTGGCAGGTATGCAGATATCAGGTCTAAAAGACTGAAAAATGGATACCATAAAACTATGAGCTGTTGCAGGGATCTGAATCACTATTGAATTGAAAATGACATTGAATGGTGAGCCATTCTTGCTCCTAAGGAGTACGCGTGTGTGTGTGTGCACAGAAATTCTAACTATGCAAAGGCTAGTAAGAATTTCCCCAGCTAAAAATTGTCACTATGTTTGTCAAAAGGCTCATAAGGTTTCTGGAGTTTCCATTTCTATTGTGCCCTTTTGCCTTATGATACAGAGTACCTTGTATGGCCTCATGCATATTTTTGACAAAATGGCAGGGATAAGTGGCTTACCATGGTCAAACAATCTTACGTTAATATTTAATATGTGTAGACATAGCTTAAAAGTTTGCTAGATCCTTTCCCATGAAAGCATCTCTCAAATTAAGACATGGTATAAATACCATGATAGAAGCAAATGGTAGATTTACAAAAATGCTTCTATGTTCTAAACCAGAAAACTTCATGATCTCAATTATATCTCTTGAGCACTTACATTGTGTCAGACATTGTTCTCCTTTAATCATCACACGAAACCTATAGCAGGCAATATTATTATCACCATATTACAGATGGGTTCATTTTTCAAATTATTTAAATCTGTAGAAGCAGGCTTCATAGCCTTCATTGCCTTCCCTGTACCATGTTTAAACAAAGGCCATACTTTCTTTTCTTTTGGCTACTGGAGTGGCTCTTGAAGTCTGAGATGAGGAGAAGGAAAGGGACTGGTCTATAGACCTTAAAGGTTCAAAGTTAACATTTCTGAGTCTTAGTTTTCAAGAGAAAATTAGAGTAATGTGTTCCTACTCTTCCTGACCACTTTTTTTTTTTTTTGGTCTTTTTCTTTTTTACTATAGAAAAGACATATAACTTGCTTTAAACAAGAAAATGACAATAAATACATTGTGAGGTCACAGGCCAAAGATGTAGCTTGGCCTTCAAGAAACTTGTTGCCTTTGGTAGGGTTTGTTTTTGTTTGAAAATGTTTATAAGCTGAGTAAACACACTGCATTTTTTACTTGTCATTTAGTGGGCTTACTTGTACCTAAGGCAGCAGTCATACTAGCTACATCTAGTTTCTTTTATAGGGAAGAACTAGGATGGGGCTCAATTAAATGAAAAGATAAACTATGAATAAAGTAGGTGATAGACTCCGACAATCAGTTTATCATTCATAGGAAGTGTGCTGAAACTTGGCACACATGGCACTTTAAAAATTCTTGATCTCTACATATCTTCTTGTACTTTGAGAGTTTTTTTACTAGAAATACTTGAACATTCTAACATTTGGAACCAGATGAAGTATGCTTAAATTTTAAAAGATGATCTATATTTTAAAGAAGGAGGATAAAATTTTTAAATTTCCCACATTGGAAAAAAAAGTTACTTTTCTTCCCAGGAGCCCAAATTCTGCCATTTTCTGTCATTGTACTAAATTCTTTTATTAAGAACCCTAATAACTTGAAGCATTCCTGACAAAGAAGGAGTAGGGAAACTCTAAGGTCCCTAAGTAGGGAAACTTAGCTAGGTCCTAGAATTTCTGGAAGACTGGGGATACCTGGTAATGACATATTTCTATCATTTAAGATGCCAGATGTAGTCCATCTAAAACAAAAATGTCTTTAAGACTTACAAAATAAGGAGGCTAGGTGCACTCCTGTGTGTGCATACACAAACATGTTCCCCTATACAAGTATGTGCATATCCCCTTGAGAAAAGAGGAGAAGCCCAAAGACCACCTGGAATTGGGAATAATTGGGCCAGGAAAGGAAGGTCATGATTAACATAGAAACACATGAGTTACTACTCAGTTCATCACAGATACAACTAAAGGCTGAAAGCTATAGATAGCATTAGAGCAAGCAGCATTTTAGAAATCAAGAAAAGTGCATATAATCCAAAAACACCAAATCCACTGCTATCAAGCCGAATCTGACTCACAGTGCTGATACAGTACAGAATAGAACTGCCCCATAGAGTTTCTATGTCTATACATCTTATGGAAGCAAACTGTCACATCTTTTTCCCACAGAGCAGTTGGTAGGTTTGAACCACCAACCTTTTGGTTAGCAACTTAGTGCTTAATCACTGCACCACCCTAGCCAAAGTCAATCTTTTCAAAACTTTTTTTTTTTTAAAAATCCCACAATTAGCTTCCTCTGGAATGTGTTTCTTTCCATCAGAGCTAAGAAGCTAACTGCATTAGGGAGTTTCTGTTTTTATTTTTTGAAACTGATTTAGCATCCTCATCTCTTACTGGGGGTTGTGAGGAAGAGGGCTATGCTCTTGGTGAGATATTGACATATCTCTTTTATCCCTACTAACTTGTTCTATTTGAACATTTAAATTCCTTTTCTAAGTTTCTTATCTCCCCAAATTCTCTAATCCCGGCAAATCCCTTAGAAAACTTGTTCTGAAACTCTGGTATCACTGATCAATTATGTGACCATTCACATATGTCAGATGATCAGTGTCATCAAAGGTAACTTGAATTTGGAGATTTAAAATTAACATGTATGTAGAAGATTGTTAAATCTAGGCTGTATTCCCCTCCTCTTTTTTGAAAATAGTAGTTTTAATTAAGCATTAGGATTTTGTTAAAAAAAGATTTCAGATATTCAGCATGACTTTTATTTCATCTTGTAATCATAAAATAAAATAAAAGGTAACGGGACTCATACTGATTCCAAGAATTGTTCAAATGAAGAACTTCATTTGGGTTTAGTTATTCCTATTATGTAGGTAGTCCTAACTGGAGCTCTTGTATCGTAGTACCTAAGGCACTTGACTGCTAACCAGACAGCTGGCAGTTCAATCCCACCAGCTACTCCTTGGAAGGAAGGTTGGGCAATCTACTTCCGTAGCGATACGGCCTTGGAAACCCAAGGAGGGGTCGCTACTAGTCGGGTCCGACTCGATGGCACATAACAACAACCGTCAGAGTATGACATTTCAATAATATTTACTATTTGATCTGCTAGGTTCTGTCCTTAGGCCAGACAGTTTTCTGAACAACAGTGGTGTGCACTGAGAGAAGAAATGTAAAGTATCACTAATCCTTCACTGGCCGGCCAAGAGGTCTGCTTCACTGGGCTGTTCTCAATAGGTCAACTAGGATAATCTGGAATTCTGAGGTGGTATACATTTCAAGAGAAATGGTTTGAGGCCATTTTGAATTCTGGAGATTTCAGTGTGAACTACAACCATTCCCAACTTGTAGTTGTTAGAGGAATTTATGGTGGATGAATTGGTGGTATACATCTCTCCTCTGCAACAGGGTAACAGTCATTAAGGATATAGGCATTGATGCCAGTCAGACTTTCGTTTAAACCCTGGCTCTATCATTTATCATCTCAGTAGTAATTCTGATTTTCAATTTCCTCATATGTAAAATGGGGATAATAGCAGCTATCACCTGGTTGGTGTAAGGATTAAACTTGGTAATGTTTGAGTATTTCGGTGCCTATTGTTTGCGTTCTGAAGTGATCCAAAAAATCAGCTCGTGGACTCAATTCTGACTCCTGGTGACCCCCTGTGTGTCAGAGTAGAAATATGTTCCACTGGGTTTTCAATGGTTGATTTGTTTGGAAGGAGTTCACTAGGCCTTTCTTCCAAGGTGTCTTTGGGTAAACATGAACCTTCATCTCTGTCGTTAGCAGCTAAGCTCATTAACCATTTGTACCACCCAGAGACTCTCCATAAATGATAACTCTTGTTTCTTCCCCAACACCTTTATTCCAGGGCAAGAACTTACAAGTAATTCTATAGGTAGTTATAGAAAATTAGGGGAGCAGGACCTTCAATACAGGAGTGTAATATGCTTGTGTTTTGTGAATGCCACTCAGTATTGTCACCTGTGTAGAATCTCTACAAAGACCAAACAACTGCTATTTACTTATTGTATAATATCATCTTACCCTTTTCAACCTTAAGCTGGCTATATTTTCTTATCTGTCTATATAAAATCCCTAAACTCCCTCCTGGTTCTTGCTTCTTTTCATCTCTCCACCTGCTTTTATGAGAAAGGAAAACAAGTAAGCCTAGGGTTAATTAAGTCTTAGTATGAAAGAATAATTTGTAAAGCAACTAATAATGGAATCACTTTGCTACTTAAACATTAAGAGCACTTTGTAAGAAACTCCTGGTGAGTTCTTAACTCTAAATCACATGTCAAAACCTTGCAGATGGTAGAATATGTACAAATTGAAACTTGTCTCAGGAAAGGGAGAAAATTACTGAACTAGGATTACAAATGTACCCAGTAGTCAATTATCAGTAGCTAAATCCCATTTTCCCAGGCTTGGTATTATTTACCACTTATATACTGATTTATATGCATTTATATGCATATGTACACACACACATACACATCTTCTAAGCCTCTTGAGGCCAGACACAGTTTCATTTCCCTTGGACCTTACACCATAGAAACCAAAGAACCAAATCAAAACAGTTGCCATCAAGTTGATCCTGACTCATGGCAATTCCTTGTGCTTCAGAGTAGCACTGCACGCCATAGGGTTTTCAGGGGCTTTGATTTTTCAGAAGTAGATCTCCATGTTTTCCTACCAAGATGCTTCTAGGTGGATTCATACCACTAACTAGCAGTGCTTAAAAGTCTGTGACATGCAGGGACTCTGACACTAGAAGGCTCTCAGAAAATGTTGAGGGCCTAAATGGTACTAAGAGAGGGGCTTAGATAACAGCTGACTCTTATCATGCCCCTAAAGCATTAACACACCTAAGACATTTTTCACTCCCTTAGAGTCCATTAAGAAATGATCTTTCTCAATACTCAGACTTCCAAAAGAGACTAACTTCCTTTTTTTTCTCTCTGAATGTCTCTGACCCAGTAATGATAGATTTCCCACATCTTTAATCACTCTCTATCACTTGAAGTCAGTGATGTACTGAGCTCATTATTACTAACACATTTATTAAAAAAAGCAATGGTAACATGCAGGTTTAAAGGCTCAGTACATAACAGAAGTCATGGATAATTGACCAGATTATATTTTTAGCCTGATAATTTTTTAAGTGCAATCAAGAGCCATAGAAGAATTCAACACAAATAGCCTTGGGTTTCACAGTCGTAAGAGGAAGCTGACCAACCTTTGATTTCCTGGACCTCGATGCCAGCCTTTTTAACTGATCGATGTTCCATTTCTGTAACACAGAAAGCAAGAAGATAGAAAAACAGAATCCCCAGAAAGAACATTTGAAATAATAATTTTTGTAGTAATTTTACTCAGTAGAAAACAGGTATTATCACCTTTAGAAAAGAGTCCACTACAAATTAGTAATTAAATACCAGATCCATGAATATCAGATTTATATTTTCTAAGGAAAATTTAAATACAATTTTTAGTACCTTTATACTTAGAATGAATTTTTCCTGTGGCATTCATAATATTGTATTATTTATGATGTATCAAGTACTGTTTTCATATGGACATCTCTGATTAGTTCTGCATGTTAGAGTCTCAGTCTTCTCGCTGATAGAAAGGCTTTGACTGAATACTAAAATGAGACACTTGTTTAGTGTCTGATGGCAATCTCAGTGTTCCACAGGCACTGTTTTCCAGATTTATTAGTTGATTATACTCTGGACCATAGAAAGTTTTTCTATTTCAAAGCTACATGCTGTAGTAAGTGCTTCTCAGCCAGGGGATGTATCAAAACCCCTTGGGGAGCCTTTCCAAAATACACATATTTCCACTTCTCTTCTTTCTATAGGTCCTAAATGGGGTCTAGCCCTGCATATTTTGAAAATTATTACCAGACAACTCAGATGTACACCTGTTCAGTACTAACCAGTGGAATGGTATAAAGAGCTCTAAGACTAGAATCTTAATGAGTTCAAGTATCATATTTTTATCTTCAAAATGAAGATTATTGGCTAGATCTTAAGTCTCATCCTTTTTCAAGGTATCTATGTGTTTTGTTCTGAAAACCTGGGTTTATTTATGTAATTAGGAATGATCCATCTATCTTTGATTTCCTGTCTGCCCATATTTTCTGGGGAGAAGGTAAGCAGTGGGACAGCTACTTCCTCAAGGTAAAGTGAAGCTACTACTGGAGTGCAACAGTCCATGGGCACCTCTGTGCAATCACCCAGACAGGGTCTTTATGACAAATAAGTGAAAGTTACTCAAAGAATTGTTCTGAAGATAGTAGTTACCAAATTTATTTGGGCTCCAAGACCTGTATGATATCTGATTAAAGTTTTTCTACTCCTCCCTCCTCTTTTTATTGTTTGGAGCCTGATATATTGTAAAAAGCATCTTGAGACCTTACTGTCTATGGCCTAGTAAGCATTCAAGAAGAATTTATGCCTTTGAAGGATGATGTTGGTGAAGAATATTAAATATACCATGGACTGCCAGAAGGATGAACAAATCTACCTTGGAAGAAATACCGCCAGAATGGTCCTTAGAAGGGAAGATGGTGAGACTGTCTCATGTATTTCGGATATGTTATCAGGAGGGACTAGTCCCTGGAGAAAGACATAATGCTTGGTAAAGTAGTTGTTGTTATTGTTAGGTGCCGTTAAGTCATTTCCAACTCATAGCGACCCCCTGCACAGCAGAACGAAACACTGCCTAGTCCTGTGCCAGCTCCATGTTCCTTGCTATACCTGAGCCCATCGTTGTAGCAACTGTGTCAATCCATCTTGTTGAGGGTAAAGTAGAGGGTCAGCGAAAAAGAGAAATACCTTCAATGAAATGGATTGACACATTGGCTGCAACAATAGGCTCACACATAACAATGACTGTGAGGATGGGGCAGGAGTTGGCAGTGTATTGTTCTGTTTGTACATGGAGTCACTGTGAGTTGGAACCGACTCAAAAGCACCTAACAATAACAACAACAAGAAGCATTCAGTGCTCTTCAATTTAGATAAATTGTGTTTTTCTCTATGGCAAAAGCCAGTTGCTATGGAATCAATTCTGACTCATGGCAACCCCATGTGTGTCAGAGTAGAACTGTTCTCCATAATGTTTTCAATGGCTGATTTTTTTCAAAGCAGATCACCAGGCCTCTTTTCTGAGGCACCTTTGGGAAGCTCTGAAGCTCTAACCTTTTGGTTACTACCCAATTATGTGAGAGTAGGGGCTAAGTGGCTATATTTTCTAAAAATTAGATATACTGTCCAATACGCAATTAGGAAACCTTAAAACTAGCTGGCTTAATCACTAAAGAACAAAGCTTCTGTCCCCAAACTTTTAAGTTACATGAACATATAACAGTTAAGTATTTTGGGAAGGCTGAAGCCTAAATGGAAAATGTGAAGTGTTTCCTGTTTGAGAATACTGTCTGACAGATGCTGGCATTCCTAGATGCTCAGCAGCTTCTGAGAGCTGAAGAGCCGTGTGGGAAGTGATGTCTATGGAGAAGGCAGCCCCTCTGCCTTGCCAAGGCCATCTCCTCCCTCTGGATCTAAGTTAGATTTAACATTGGTTTTTGCGCAACAGATGTTACTTTAGGCATTGAGAATTTCCTGTGGAATAACTGGAAACAAGAGGATACCTGCCAGAGAAAAGAGAAAAAGATGTTTCTCTCCACTTTTAAAAAATTAATTTAATCTTTGAATTGAGTATCAAGAAGGGCTTTCAAGAACTGCTAATTTGTATCTTATTTTCCCATTCCTATTAATAAAAAGAGAATGAAATGCAAATGTTTTTGTTTCATTTCCAAGCAATATAACTGGGCAAAAGGTGGACAGTGATGAAGTAACAAGCATACTTTCAGTTGAGGTGAACTTCCACACAGTATTGGTGTGAGCGTCTCCAACATACACCGTCCCATCTTCAGATGCAACAATATCATGAGGCATGTCAAAATGCTGCAAAAATAGAAAGCCACAAATTAGGATGATGAGCCTACTCTTGAATCCTTCATGAAAAGACACACACACATACACATACACACAAAAGCACACAACAAAGCAGTAGGCATATTACTCAAATCAAAGCAATAATACTTCTCATCATAGCAAATGTAGTACAAAGGTCTATTAATTCATTGGGTACCAAATCTGTTTCAGGTATAATTCTAGGCATTGTGAAATGCCAAATAATCTTTACCACTGATTTTCCAACATGTTAAAAAGCAAACATCTACAAGTAAATGATCTCATTTGGTATTATATCATTGTTTACTTGGTATTATATCATCTATCTATTTATATTTATTTTTGCCTTCATGTTTCTCCTACCTTTTAACCCCTATCAAATTTGTCTATTTTGATCTGTATAAGTCAAACAGAACAGGATTAGCTTATGTTACTATTCCCATCAAGCTATCCTACCCTTAAAAACTATTTGTACATTCAGAAAAAACAAAAACAAACTCACTACTATTGAGTCGGATCCGACTCACAGAGACCCTTCCTTGGGCTTCTGAGGCAGTATCACTGCAGAAGTAGATTGCCCAATCTTCCTTCCAAGGGGTGGGCTCCTGGTTAGCAGTCAAATGCCTTAGGCACAATGCCACCAGAGCTCCCATTTGTACATTACTGGTAAGAATAATCAATACAGATTCTAGGTATTCAAGGACATACTAGGAGATATATAACAATATGGATTTTCTACTCTAAAGTCCAATGTCTGAAATATTTTCAGTCAGCAAAAAAAAAAAAAAAAAAAAACAAATTGAATGGCACCCTCAAATACTTCCTGGGCTTTTGTACCCACTTCAGATACTCAAATGTTTTAATATGTTCTTCCTCAGGATGTATCTTCATTTCAAATCACTGTCTTCTCAAACACGAGGGCACAGGAAGCACAAGAGCATTTTATGTAACTTGCTTGGGGTCACACAACAAATTTCTGGTAAAATGGCTTAAAACCTTGTGCTTCTGACTTTACTGTTTATTGAAGCTTACAAAGGTACCATGTGTCCTCCTCTTGGCAGGGTGTAGATAACTTCTTTCGCTTTTGAGACCAGCAGGCCTGCCTGCATGTACAGTTCTTAAAAATATGACTAGTGAGTATAAAAAGAAGCACTATCCAGACTATGGGCTTATCAGCTAACATCTGTACACCTTTGCTGAGAACAAAGGTCACCAAAGGACAAGTTACTCTTCTTAGCTCACTTTAGGAGGGGCAAAAGAATACATGTTTAGGAGATACTATTGTGCTTTAAAATCAACAACAGTTTGTCATGTTGAAAAGAAAAATGAGAGCTGTGCCAAGGAGGCTCCATCCAATGAGCTGTGACTAATGTGCAAAAGAAAGACAGAGAGCCAGAAATCAAAATGTTGCCTTGTTGAAATATCACAAACCTATGGTTAAACATTTATCTTTTTTTGGATTCAGCTAATGGGTGGCAACAGAGTTACAAATTATAGGCAGTGTCTGTTCTATACAAACAGCTTTGTAAAACATATGGTTATAAAATACTTCAGATTTCCTGGTAGGAAAAATACTATAATAGATGGAATACAGGTGAAGGGGGAATGTATGAACTATTTAAGGCCAAAGACTTTGCTTTAAATAAATCTCAACAACAGTCATAAATTCAAGGATAAAATAACATTAAATCTCTATCACTGCTTCCACACTGATCGACAGAGCCAAAAGTTCTGTGAGACATATTTCAGAGCCATTGTAAGGGCTCACAGGAATGCACAGTGGGTGGGACTTGTGGACCTCCATTCTATTGCAATCAGAAGTACTTAACTGTAATGTTTTTAATGACCTGTTCCATGGTTCTGTATTATTTGAAACAGCAAAATTATGTTGCTGCATATAGTATTTCAGAGTTGAAGGGACTTCTAATGCAGGGTTTGAAAATATTTCGCCTGAGGTAGCTCTAACAAAATAAAAATGACACCAGAGGAGAACAATAGCATCCTCCTCAGGCATGGATGGACATAGGCAAGGACAATCCCTTAAAATCTTCTATTTTATCTTAAAAATTCATGAGAAAAATTTTTATCTTTTGTGTATCATAACCACATTTGCTTTAATAGAAACATAACTTAAACTTACTTAACATTAAGTATAATGGCTCTTCTAGGAAGTTGTATCATGTTTATGCTATGCCTTCATATACCTCTTAACATATGAATGTGTATTCCAGGGATTACAGGACTCCAGGATAATCTAACTTCATTTATCAAATGAAGGTACCAGCACTCAAAATACAGAATGCTAAGTAAAGCTCATTTTAGAGTCAGACAGACATGAGTTTGAGATCTGGGTGAGCTACTTACTGTACAGCTTTGCCCAAGACATTTAACTTACATAAATCTTTCATCTCAATTGTGAAAATACTTATGTATCTGTATGTGTGTTGGGGGTGGGATGGGGATCATTCCTTTCCTTTCCAACATTAGCTGCCTTGAATAAGAAAGAAGATGAAAAATGGCAGGCTAAAGGGTGTGTGTGAAAGCATACGATGAAGTACCAATAGTACTTCCTTTGATTATGGGTTGTGGGAGAGAATTTAGGGGTGATTATGTGTTTTTTGTCCCTTTTTTGATACTATTTAATAGAATCATCTTCTTTATCATCCTATCATCCCCCAGCTTCCTTGCACAGACATGAAAATGAAGATTGTATACTCAGACAGACATATATATTTCTAGAAAATTAATAGTTGACAAGAGAGAACTGAAATACACAAGGAGGTAAGTGGCAAATGACAGACAGAAGCATAGACACAATGTAAAACTTGACTTCTGCCTTGAAAGACAAATATTTTCTTATATAGCAGTTAATATATCATATTATTTCTTCACCCACTTAATCTTTATGATGATAATCAAATTAAACAAAAATTCTGTGAGATTTATAAACTGATTTCAGCTTACTGAGTCAATACAGAATACATTTCTATGTTGGTGTGATATCAAGTCTTGTTTACTTAAAGGAAAAGCAAATTTCATCTATGAGTTAGGCTTTTTCAAGTTTGCTGTATTAACCCATATACTGTGACATCGCTATGTTTCAGGAACGCTTATGTATAGGCACACTGCTTTCTGAAATTTTGATTGAGAGCTGTACACATTTTCAAGAGTGAGGATTACTTAGATTCTAGTTTCTTGCATAGCACTCTGTTTTGATTTCTCGACACATATTTGAATTAAAAGTTAATACACTGATTTATACTGGTTCATTAAAGGAACCAGCAAGGTAAGCACTCCACTTGCAAAGTGAAGATCTTAAATAAAGCAGTATCTTACTTTATCAGTAGATAGAGGAGGTTAGCATAAGGAGCAAAACAATGAAGATTAAGAAAATCAATGAGTTGAAACACTATGAAGTATCTTTTTTATTTGATTGTGGTGAAAATACAGGTAACAAAACATACACTATCTGAAAAATTTCTACATATACAATTTACTAACACTGATAGCATTTTTTAAGTTGTGAAACCATTCTTGATATCCTTTTCCAAATCTATTACCACCATTAACATCAACTCAGTGCCGCCTAATGAGCATTGATTCTTGATCCTAGACTGCATGCAAGCTCCCTACACCAGCCCCGATCTGTGAATATGTTTGGCTCTCATGAAGTATATCTTTTCAATATAATGTGTTGCTTTCTGAAGGGCTACTATGATTTCATATTTGATTACTTATTGTTTTTCAGGTGAAACTGTCCTATGAAAAGTCTTATTTGCTGTATATGAATAGAAACCCAAAAAAAGAAATCTGTACTGGAAACTTTAGTTCAGATTCACTTTAGGTTCACTTCACAACCAGTAATTTATATATGTGATGAAAAGCTCTGCTGAGGTGTAACTTGTTCTGTTTACTCTTTTTGTATCTTCAGTATCTGGCATAATACCTGACACATAGTAAAACCAAAAACACCAAACTCACCGCCATCAAGCTGATTCTGACTCATAGCAACCCCCTTTGGATTTCTGAGGCAGTAAATCTCAACAGAAATAGACTGCCTGGTCTTCCTTCTGTAGAGTGGCTGGTGGATTTAAACCACCAACCTTCTAATGCCTTAGGAACTATATCACCAGAGATCCTTCGACAGACAGTAAGTACTTAATTATACTCCTGGGATGAAATGTGATGATAAACCCCAAACTAGTTGTCAGTATTTCTAAAAGATTGAGGCATTTTTAAAGTTTTCTTTTAATCTAGAAAACATGGTATCTTAAGAGATTAATACAACAATTATTATCAAGATCCTGGATAGAGTAGGAGAACAATATAGACCAAAAATCAAAATGATTAAAAAAAAAAAAAAAAAAAGACCAGGTTTACTGGTCTGAAAGAGCCTGGTGAGACCCCAAGACTATGGCCTCTAGTTACCCTTCAGGTCTGGAACTGAACTCACTCCTGTGGTTTTCAGCCAAACAAAAGACAGGCATATAGGGTGAACATTTATATCAGGTAGATACACTCCTTGGAGCAATCAATCATGGAAGAACAGAGGTGGAGTGCAACTGGGAGCAAGCAGGAAGAGAGCTGTTACATTGTAGGGAACTGCAGTAAATGTCATGAAGCAAAATGTGTACAAATTGCTGTATGGAAAATGAATTTGTTCTGTAAACTTTCACCCAAATCACAATAAAAAAAAAGTTATTATCAAGATACATTTTGTCCAGTGGCTTCTTCTGATAGCTGCATTTTGATTCAAGTAAAGCCAATAAATCTCTACATGTTTTGGAAAAACAACTTTTATTTGCAACATTTTAGCATGTTGAAGTTTGAAAATTGATGTGTCATATGCATGTTGATGTAGTGTATGTGGCAGTCACCCTGCAAAGAAAGTAAACTGGGAAGCTGGAAAGTCTAGGTCACATTGATCCCTAGTCACTGGACTTGTAAAATACACTGTAAGAATAAATAATGGTAAACAATTTGTGAACTCAAAACTAGTCTTTAGTCCTTACCTAAGCCAAGTTTTCAGGACTTGAATAAGTTCCATGAAATGCTATTTTCAAATCTTGTTGCTTAGTATCATCATAGCAGTAAAAAAGCAGACAAGACTTGTGGAATCTGAGAGAACTATATAAATACAATGTCAACTACTCTGATGTCTTTCTTATTTGAATAAAATTAGGAAAAGACTAATTTTTTAAAGGCATTTTAAAGTACAGGTTATTCATACCTGTGATGGTATGCAAATTCTACTAAGAACCTTAACAAGAACATATTACATAGTGTTAATTTGCATCTGAGGAAATTGATTTAAGAACGGACAAAGGCATTTATTCTAGACAAAAACACTGTAATAGGACACTCTCATCAACCTAGATAAGAAAATTATCATAACTACTTTTTTTTTTTTTAATTATAAAATGACAAGTTGAACATCAGGATTCTTATTTTAGTTTTATTCTCATAAATATTGAAACCTAGGCAATGCTTATAAATACCTTGCGTACTGGCTTGAAGACGCCTATTATTTCCCCATTGGAAAAGTTCATCACAAATCCTTGAACAGGCTCTTGATCCCCAAAATAAGGCTTCCCATTCACCGCGAAGAGCAAACCTGTGATAACATATACAGTTACGCTCCCTTTAAAATACAGACAAGACTGGTTTTCAAATATACACATGAACATTCACACACAATCAACTGAAAAAGGGTCAATCTGATTCCTGTAATTGGCAACAAAAGTAGAGAATAAGTAATTAGCAGGATGTCTTTTTCTGAATGACAAGATCACAGGCAAACAGGTTAGATGGCTAACCTCCTTGTAATAGGAAAACCAGGAACTGGAAGGTCTGTTCCATTTGAGAAGCCAGCAAAATTCAGGAATATACACATACAGATTGTTGTTGGTGGTGGTGTGTGCCATCGAGTCGGCCCCGACTCACAGTGACCCCTCCTTGGGTTTCCAAGGCAGTATCACTACTGAAGTAGATTGCCCCATCTTCCTTCTGAGGAGTGGCTGGTGGGTTTGAACCACCAGCCTTCTGGTTAGCAGTAAATATAGATGTCACAGGCATCCTAAATAGATAATGAGAAGAGTCTCCTTATTTGCCTAATCATTTTAGGATATCAGACTCTTTTCAATCATATACTGTACCTACCATAACTAAATATTAGAGAGACGTTAGAGAGAAATTAAGTAAAATTACAGTATAAATAGAAAGAGTACCTGACTTTAAACAACTGTAGTTTGAAAATGTGAGATGATTGTTTCAGATTATCAAAGACATGTTTTCCTTGTTTTTTTTTTTTTTTAAAAAGGACCATCTTTTTTATAATACTGCCATGAATAATAAAGTTGTTCGGTGAGATGAGGCAATCTACTTATTTTATGTATTTATATTTCTATTTTTAATTGCCTACCATTTATAAAAAAAAGTGATAAAGAAGTATTTGGAATACTGGTTCTATTAGACACACACTATCTGTTGATGATGTGTGAAGACATAATATTAGTCATTTAATAACTACAGCAGGTTATCGTAATTAAGGAAAAATGAAAATCCATGTTTGGAAACAGTTTTTTTTTAACTTTAAAAACAGTTGTTAAATCATTGAATTCTTCATTATTTGTGTATAAAGAACAGTGTCACTTGAGTGAAAATGGACCACTAATAGCACAGTGATTAAAGTGCTCAGCTACTAACTGAAAGGTTGACAGTTCAAACTCATACCCACTCTGTGGGAGAAGGATGTGGTAGTCAGTTACCATAAAGATTTACAACCTTGGAAACTCTATGTGGCAGCTGAAGTCTGTCCTGTAAGATTGCTATGAGTCAGAATCTAATGTGAAAGTGGGTTTGAGTTGAAAATTATTTCTAATGCACTAACAGTTTTAAGATATTTTAAGCTTTGATATATAAGGCATTTTCAACCCTTTAATAAGGAAAAAAAATAAAGAGCATGTGAAGATAATATGGATACTTTTCAAGAATAGAGATTGGTATATATACAAAAATTAAGATTAAATACCTGGTATATATGAAATTGCAAATACATTTCTTCCAAATGACGCATGCTTGATTTCTCTTACAAATTCTTTGGTGTCAGTTTTAAAACACTGGATCCGACCATTTTCCCTGTCTGCCACACATAACTGGCCCAAATGAGGTACAAGGGCCAAGCTGTGAGGAACACTGAACTGGCCTGGCTTAGGATTGCTCCCTGAAGACTCTACAGAACAAAGAAAAACTTCAGATATACAATTTATAAAATCACCTAAGGTCTGACTATGATTTTATAATTTTCCATATTCATGAAAGTAAACCATTAAATTTCTGGAAAGAGGGGGGAAATAAGGTATATCAGTTTTTAAGTTTATTCTATGATACCTCTGACAACAGATTTTCTCCCTAATTTAGATAAAACTTTTTGGTAAATCTTCATTTTCCTTTTATAAGACCTATGTGCCTTTGAGCATGTGTGTGTGTATGTAAGCCAACTAGGGAGACACAAAGACCCTGTTTTCCTCACTTAAAGGACAATTCATCCCACAGAATGTGAAAGGTGGCCAATCTCTCGTTCCAACTGATTCTGGCTAAGAATTACAATTAGAGATCAAGAGTCTTCTTGGGTACCTTCTCCCCACTGTGTGATGAACTTTCCAGTTGATGAAAACTGCACAATTCGACTGTTACAGTAACCATCTGATACAAAAATGGTTCCAGTCTCTGGATCCACAGCGACATCAGTGGGTTGACAGAAATGATTCTGGTCACTGCCTGGTTGCATGCTTCTTCCCAGGATTAACAGAGGGCCTTCTTTACTGTTTGGATCCAGTTTGAATACCTTTTTAAAAGGAAATAAAGGATTTACCTGCTTTTCATGGTTATCATTGACAGTTACCCAGCATGACTAAGATTAGTTTTACAGGCAATGTGCGTGTAAGCTCTGAGGGGCTTATTCAAAAGAAGACAGTTTTTAGAACTACTTGGAATTCTAGGAACCATTCTACCAGATTCCTTTGTTTGATAGATGAGGTCTACAGAGATTAATTGATTTTTCTCAAGGTCATCCAGTTAATGAGTGGCAAATGGTGACATACACATGGTTGTCTTGTTCCACTTCACTCCTGACACTTCCTTTCTGTCTTTCTTTAACTAATTGGAAAATACTCTTCAGATATAATATATGAGAAATAAATGTTTGCTAAGATGATGTTTGACAACTGTGGCGAGAACAATTTAATAACTCTTATTACCGTGTTTTTTGAAGGTGTTTTTCTAGTTCTTTGCCTCCTATTCATAACAATGTTATTAAATTTAAGCTTATTAGGGAGGGAAGGGGAACACCTTATGACAATTCTGTGACTGAAATATAACTCTTTTGAAAAAGGACAAAATATTTGTCCTTGAACATGTTTTAAAATCTTATTTTTTACACATAAACATATACTTACTACAGACTTTGTCTCAATTTATAGAATAATGTGGCTTAGAAAAGAAAACATAAATGTGAGTGGTAAAAAAGTATATTAAGACTTAGATAAAGAAAGCCAAAGTAAATGTAGCAAGTCAAGGTGTGGAGAGGGCCCACATCATCGTCATAGTCTAACTCCACTGCCAACCCAAGGGAGAAAGGAGACTTGATAATTTATACGCTAACTTTTCTAGCTCTGAATTCAAAAAGAAAATATTCAGATATGGCTGTTCCATTTTCTTGTTACAAACTTATTGCGCCACAGAAAAAGATCCACAAAACTCCAGAAAATTAGAGCATTTTGAAAGCATAGTTCTATTATAGCTTCTATTTGAATAACTGCCAAATCAGTAGATTACCTGATGAAGAGCCACATCTGTGACCCAATAATTTCCATCTTTATCTACACTCAAGCCATGTGGTAAATAAAATCTGTAAAATAAAAAAATAATTATCTTAATTATATATATTTTCCCAAAGCATACATGAGGGAATTCTTTTTCTGAAGAATTCTGAAGAATATGAAGTGATAAATGTATACTTCCCTACTACAGAAAAGACCAAATTGAATTATTAGATATAGATCCATGACAAACCTTAAGTAGTATGAATCATATTAAAAATCAATAAATGAAGGCTATATATAAATTAAAAATATTTATCATAAAGCAGAATAAATTAGAGCAAACAATATAGTATCCATTTAAAAACAGGTTCTAAAGTTATAAATATCAACCTCTTAGATATGTATAAAATCCACCTGTCTAGAGAAACAAAAATTGATTTATGTAGGCATTTTGAATAGTTTAAATATACTGCAAGGCAATGCAATGCTACATGAATATAAAATATATTACTCAAAATTGTTAAGAGTACCTATTTAAGACAGTAAAACCCAAAGAAATACAACTTTCAGCAAAAACGGACTGTGCTCATCGAAGGAAGTGAAGTGGTAAGCTGGAAAATCATTAGAGAAGGTTAATTTATTTATAAAATCCATTTGAATGATCAGAATAGGAGAACTGTAGGCTAATGCAGACAGAGGCCTGCAGATTTAAGGAACTTTGATAGACTTAACAAGCATGTGGACAATTCTTAATGTGGTTTTGGTCTAATGACATCTCAATCCACAAGCTATTTTTTTAGGTGTCTAACCTTAGTATGTGTTAGCACAATAGATTTTGTCATGAGCCAACACTGACACACCTTGATCCAGATTCATTAACTGAACTAGGTCCCTGCCTTGGTAACTGAATGTGAGGGTTATGATTTCCCTTCAACAGAGGTATCCCACTGATATTGAAGTTGACTTAGGAGCAGTTGTTCTGCCTTACTCCTTAATTTCTTTCAGGAATGAGTCTGCTTCTGCTTTATGGGTAGAGCACAAAAGAGAGGTTCAAGCACACTGAGTAGTAGAGCTGACATTAGAATGCCGCCCCTGACTCATCATCCTAGAAACCTATCCAAAAAAATCAAAACCTCATTATTACCATCTCCATACACAACAGGATTCAAAGCAGATGGCTCCTTGACTTTCAAGGAAGCTGGCCTTCTTTGTGTCTAAGCAAATGGAGTAGGTTATAGTCCTCAAAACTGCCAGGTTGACATGGCTGAGGACACTCTTTAAGTAGGTGTCCCTTTCTTTCAATGACTGTGAATATCAGCCAACTTTTTTTTGGCTGCCAAATGCCATATAGGAAAAAGAGCAAATAATGAGCAGCTTTCAAAGCCAAATTATTTGTGCATGCTAATGAAGGCTGAAAATGGCATTTGCTTAGTCTTCATTTTGAGATGTGAAGAAGCCTTTTTTCTCAACTGTGATTACTTGATAACTTTGGTTATGCAACTCTTCTGATAAACTTTTTTGTATTTTTCCCTCTTCAGATCTAGCTGACCAGTAAATCATTTCATTAGCTGGGTATATAATGGCTCACTCTTGATTACATATTAGAATCAACTAGGGAACTTTAAAACTACAACTGAATATTTTCTTCTTCATTTTTTCAAAGATTCCCAGGTGATTATAAATATTCAACCCAGGCTTAGAATTACCTATTTAGAAAATGGAGAATGGAATGCCTTGGTGGTGCAAATGGTGAACAAAATCAGCTGCTAAGAAAAGTCTACCCAAGGTACCTTGGAAGAAAGGCCTCATGACCTACTCCTGAGAAGTCAGCCATGAAAACCCTATGGAGCCAGTACTGTGACATACATGGGGTCAATGGCAACTGGTTTATTTAGAAAATGTAAAGATGGGGTGACTGAATTATTTTCCTGCTTTCTTGGGCTGGGCTTTCCTACCACTGCTCTACAACTCTATCTTTCCAAGACAGACCAGTGATATACTTTACATGCAAATACATGTAATAGAAGCCTTTAATAACACATAAGTAATATAACTCACAGATTTTTGCCACTGGATTGGAGTACTGCAGCATTATTTGGATCAATGACAAGAATAGTGTCTTCTTCAATTGGTCCAAGCCCTCTTTGCTGGTAAACAAACTTGCTGTCAAAAGAGCTAAACAAAATGAATTAGAATTGAGAAGCACTGATCAAAAACTCCAGTAAACTTGAGAAATAAAGATCACTCAATTGATATTCTAATTACAGATTCAAAGAGGAACTCAGTTGTATTTAACGTCATTCTTTGTCCTCCATATTTAAGTAGCTTGGATGACATGTATACCATTAGTCTGCAAAACTGTGCTTCTCACAGTGATCAGGGAAACAGCAGCATCAGCATCACTCAGAAATGCAGTCTCAGACTCACCCAGTCAGATCTGCATTTTAACAAGGTCACTCCATGACTTCTATGAACATAAGAGTTTGAGAGTCCTGGTCTAGAACACTTTAAATAACAATCGTTTAAAACTTTAACAATTATTTAAAAAGCTCTTAAAATTAGTTTAATTCAATGAGTTATTTCCTTCAATTTACGAAAGAAAGCACTATTCTAAATTTCTCCATAAAAATAATAATAGTAGCCAGAAGGGTTAATAAAAAATATGTTTGTTATACTTCCTATGCAAACACATATTATAAGGATAAAGGATAGAATGCTCAAAATATTTTAAAAAATAGGAAGATTTATATGCTGAACAAAAATATGCTTATGCACTTTAAACACAAACATAACATTGTTTTCCATATAACAGTTTTTTGTAAATATAAGAGCAAGTACACAATATTACAAAAATTAAAACAAATATGAAAATTTCTGCTTTTAATCCAGTACCTCCTTGGCTGTTAGAAAATATGCAGTTTGAGATATATATATCTATATATATAGATATATATAGATATATATAGATATACACACACACACACACACACATACACACACACATTTACATATATGTGTATATATATACATATATATATGTATTTGAACCTTTATTGTTAGTGATACCTTTCCTTAAATAATGTATTTCTACCATTATTATTAGTAATAACTTTCCTTAAGTTAATAGTTACCACAGACACTATTTATTTGGATTCTGGTTTGGAAAATTATATGTTACTGGGGATAAATGACAAACTCCAATCTAAGCTTATATGATACAGAGACGAATACAAGTAGTACTAGGAGACTAACTTATACTTTCAAACACAGTGAACTGGATCACCACATGGTTGGGCCACATAAATTTTGGCCAGATAAAGTTAATGGATAATCAGTGAGCTGCTGGTGGTGGTGCTGCTGAGTCAGCTCCGACTCCCTGCAACCCTGTGTACAAGAGAACAAAATACTGCCCGGTCCTGTGCCATCCTCACAATCCTTGCTACACCTGACCTATCACTGCAATAAATGAATCGCTCTATAAAATAGAATTTTTCTTAAGCTGATAGACAAGATGGTGACTAAAAATACTGTTAATATTCTGTAGTTCAACTGTGTAAGCAAAAGAAGAACCTATCAAATAACATTAAATATTTATGGACATGTATTTGCAATATGGGAGGGTGACAGACTTATATCTGTCATACATCTATTGATTAGTTGGTTAGATAGATTTACAGAACTTATGTAGCCTCCTAAAAGAAGCAAATCATTAGAATTATATTCTCTTGTCATTAAAAATATGTTGTTGTTGTTATGTGCCATCAAGTTGGATCCGACTCATAGTGACCCTTCCTTGGGTTTCCGAGGCAGGATCACTACAGAAGTAGATTGCCCCATCTTCCTTCCGAGGAGCAGCTGGTGGGTTTGAACTGCCAGCCTTTCTGGTTAGCAGTCAAGTGCCTTAGGCACTATGCTACAGGGCTCCCCATTAAAAATATACACCATTATTTAAGCTTCTTGACTGTTACAGTCTTTTGGGTATTTTTTTCCTAAAAGATATCAATAAATCCCTGAAGCAATTCTTATTAATGATATATTCAATTGGATATAAAGTACTGATTTAGCTTTGCCAACCTAATATATCCTATTATGTGCAATTAAAACCACACAGCAGTATTTAGAAAAAAATACATATATTTATGAAATAGAAGTTGCATCTCTAATAAAACTGATTTTATATAAGATATTCATGGGATCATTACCAAATTGAAAACAAAATTTTACTAGCTAGAAACCTATGCAAAAATACAGAAAACAAAACAAAACAAAACCCATAAAACCAAACCAACTGTTATCAATTGATTCTGACACATAGCAACCCTGCAGGACAGAGTAGAACTGCCCCATAGGGTTTCCAAGGCTTTAAATCTTTATGGAAGCAGACTGCTTCATCTTTCTCCCAACGAGCAGTTAGTGGGTTTTAACCGCTGACCTCTGGTTAGCAGCTGATGCTTTAACCATTACCTAACTCTCTACCTTCTTAAAAATAGACAAAATGTCATTAAATCTGAGGAGGCCTATAAAGAGTAAGCATGAAATCACTCCTTCTATTACAAAATACCAAAGGGTTTATCCTGTATCTCCAAGTATTTTCTGTATGAATTTCTTCACAAAGAATGCTATAGCTTTTCCTTTAGAAAAAATAGTTATCAGATTCAACCATGGTGTTTCTTCCTTTTTTTCCCAACTTCATTATATTTGATAACTTCAGGTTGACTATAAGACTCCATATGCTTAAGTTTCACATTCATATCCTCATTCACTATCTCTTTTTAAGTTTTAAATCTTACATTTCCCACTGTTCAGAAGTATTCTAGAGCTATGTAAAGGCACAATGGCAATCTGAATAATGTGAAGATTATACTTCCCCTATCTACTAGGAGTTCAAAATCTATTTCTCCTCTTCTTTAACTGAAAATTTTATTGACATAATTATATATTCATGCAGTGTAGCAAATTACCTGTTATGGCTTTTCTAGCCATAAATCTTTGTAAACTCCATGGTGGAATTTGCTATGAGCAACTGAGGAGCTCCTGATTGTAAAAGTTATCCACCTGGGGTATTTCTGTTGGGCGTGGCACAAAGCAATGTTCTGGGAAGATCACTCTCTCTCAGGGGCTTAGTATTCTGATGTTATGATTGGCTAGTTTGGCTACTCTGCCAGGCTCAAAAGGAGGCCTCTGAGAGGCAGAAGTCTGTCTACTAGGTGAGAAGGACGTACTGCAGAGAAGGAACATGCTCCTGAGTGACATGCGCTGCTGGGAAAGAGACACAAGAGGCACACATTGCTGAGAGAGACACCGAGGGACACGTACTGCTGGGAGAAAGACTGTGAGAGACTGTTGGCTGAGAGATGGTGGGCTGAGAGGGACTGAGCATTTTTCTTGAACTTGAATTGTAATCTGGTGCTTCCCTAATAAACCCCATAATCTGTGAGTTCTGTGTGGCCACTGCAGTGAATTATCAAACCCAGGAGAGAGGTGGTGGGTGCTTTGGGAGGAATGGTTGGTGAAAGGGCTGGAGGGAGGCAACACGTTTAGTCTTGTATGGATAGGCCTTGGGCTACTGATAGTGATTCTATCTTCCTCCTGTGTGGTTAGAGGAGGTCAGAAGATGTGGCCTCCTTGCCCTTTTAGCAATTCACATACGAAACAACCCCCAGCCCCCCCAAAAAAACTCACTCACTGCAATTGAGTCGATTTGACTCATAGCAACCTCTCCTTGGGCTTCCAAGGTGGTATCTGCACAGAAGTGGATTGCCCAATCTTCCTTTCAAGGAGTGGCTGGTGGGTGTGAACCACCAGCTTTCTGGTTAGCAGTCAAATGCCTTAGGCACTATGTACATTACTCAGTTTACTACAATGGTAGCATTTTATAAAACTACACTACAATATCATGGCCAAGATACTGATATTGATACAATCCACTGGTCTTATCCATATTTCCCCTTTCCCATTTTGATTTCCTAAAATTTTTATTTATTGTAACAGGTTATTTGCTTGGGCATGGACATACAGTTGTCCATTACTCCTCTACCCCACTCATGCCTGAGATTTAGTAATATGGAATTATGTAATATGGAAAGTTATTAAGTCCTCATATTTCTTTTTTATTTTTGCAGTGTTTTCTCCCCTCCTTCCAAGTCCTCATATTTCTTAACAACTCAGTTTACATGTAGAGAGTGTTCTGACCAACCACTGAACCACTGACAACTAATACGGACAGTCCAGATGCCTACTGTATAGCCTCATAAACTGGACCATATCAGCCTTCAGCACACTTGATTCCACATTTCTTTGTCTCAGAAAAATGACAAAACTTACAGGAAGCCCAATATGTTTACTTGTTCATGGCTTCACAAGAATGGGTTCCTGTAATTCTTTATGGCCCTTTTCTCTGTCTTGTCATTCACTTAAATATTCACCATCAGTCTTAAACCTCTGATCATAACTATTTTAGGCAGCAACATCCCTACAACTTACTATTGTGGAGTAGAGAGTAGAAAGGAGATATTCTTCCCCAAGAGCATATATTGAACTCCTCTAACTTAAAGTATTTCTTATAGGAACTGCTTATTTCTACAGGCACTCAAATATTTCAAAATGTAACTGTAGCTTAAATTACTCACTGGAAGTCATGTAAGCTCAGAGTCATGGACCTGAAATACTAGATTTGGCTTTAAAGAAAACAAGTAGTGTTATGGACGAAATACAGATAACCCAGATGCATAGTCCTTATGCTAGTCAGGCAAATCAAAATGTAGTTGATGAGTAAGTAAGTGAAATATATCCTTTGTCAATGGTCCTAGTCAATTACGCCCACAAATGGAGATAAATGTATCAAATAACTAATGTTTTATTGTCCTGAACACAACTTGTAGTGCATGAACATTTATAGCCATAAGTACCTAAGGCATTTGACTGCTAACCAGAAGTCTGGCGGTTCAAACCCACCAGCCATTCGGAAGGAAGAAGGGGCAATCTACTTCCATAGTGATACCACCTTGGAAACCCAAGGAGGAGTCACTATGAGTCGGATCCAACTCGATGGCAGTGAGTTTGGTTTTTGGTTTTGAGTGGTGGTTAATACATAATAAAGTTAACTAATTTCAACACCATCCATTTTTATTTCATTATCCACTTTTCAGTACCTAAGGCACTTGAATGCTAACCTG